TTTTTTTATGCTTTCCTTTCTGTATATACACAAAGTGATATAAGACCAAAACATTTTCATTAAGTGTAAAATAAATCTCTGGGTGATAAGAAAGCATTATGTCTTAGTATAATTGGCAGCATGTTTCTCTTGGCAGTGTTTAAATTATAATGCATCCTTAAGTCTGTGGTGTCTTAGAGAAATTCAGTGTGGCTCACAGTGTGTTCTGTGAGCACAGTACTTTGGAAGTTCAAAATATTTATTCCTTTCTCCCAGTGCTTCCCATCAGATACCATTATGACTGATGGCTTATTTAGATATAGGAGTCATAATTCTTGTTTCTATGAGACAGTGTGCAAAGCATTGCCAGATAAAATCAAATATTGTCTGCGATAGAGTACAATTATGTCATTTTTGCTGGTATTTTAGTATAGATTTGCATAATCATATTGAAGTGACTCATTAGCACATTCTACAGGCTAACACTTGTTTAAAACATCCATACCTTCTACAATTCCTAAACCCTCCTCCTAGATCTGTTAACTTCTGAAGAATAATTTTTCATTCACTCATTTCATCACATATTTATTGAGCATCTACACTATGCCAGGGGCTAGAATAGGTACAGTGAATGCAAAAATGACATGCAGGGGCTGGAGTTGTGGCTCAGTGCTCGAATGCTCACCTAGCATGCATGAGGCACTGGGTTCGATCCTCAGCACCACATTAAAAAAAATAATGTGTCCACCTAAAACTAAAAAAAAATACATAAATAAATCAATATTTTTTTAAAAAAATGACATGCAGTCAGATAGCCATGATTTTTGCCCTTTATTTTCTTACATGCTTGCCCCCAGCAAATGATGAGCATGTGGGCAAATGCAGTAAAACATGCTGAGCCCCCCCCACCCCGCCCCCCAGGAGTCACGATAACTCCCTCAGGTCTGCTGTCCATCTTTTTTTGTTTTGTTTTGTTAGAGTGGAAAGTAGAAGTTTTATTAAACGATAGTAAAAGACTTCTCCCCGAGGAAGAAGGGGACCCAAGAGGTGGAATCCGTGGAAGGGGGAGGTCTTCCCTCTTTTATAGCTAAGGTCTACTTTCAGCTTTACCACATTCCTGTTACATTCTTGTCCTTTGTTCTATTATCTTGCAGTGATGGAATGTAGGTGGGAAGGCCCAAAGGATGGGGGACAGGTGAGCAGAAGGAGTAATCTGGGCAGGGAGGGCCTGGGCTGCTTTTGGATTAGTATATCCGTGTTTGCTGGGAGCTTGCTTCATTAACATTTCCTTGGGATGGGCTCCAGGCTTTGGGGACATTTTCAATTTCCCCAAGTGCTGCACTGGTTTCCAGGACTCCATTTTTTATAATGGCCTCCATACTTGATTTTACTCGACATTAGACCCGATTTACCTAACTATACTAACTACCTATCTGTAAATCTGGCTTCATTCCCCCTTCTAATTTTGGGAACTCCTTACTGCTGTAAGGAAAGGGGGTTATGACTGTTCTGGTTTCTTCAAGCTGAAAGGGGGTGGTATTGAGGAAGCAGTTTTGGAGTCCCCTTTCTTTTAAAAAATCTGGTCTATCTGGTCCATGATAGTGG